GTTTCAAACCGCCAGGTCTAGGATTCAAACCGTCATTGGCCACTTGGAGTCCAGAGCCTCAACCACCATGCTACTGCTGGCCCCCACTCCATCATTTTAAACAGTTAAAACTATAAATTCAATAATCAGAAACTTTTTTCTTTCACTTTTTCAGGAGTCTATTTCTATATTACTCTAATTAGGCTGCTATTATTATTTATTTTTAAATTTTTTTAGAGAGAGTTTTGCTATAGGGTGCAAGCACTCACCAGAGAGACAGAAAGTGACAAATCACTCCCCAGAGGGGGCAGGCCATGCTGCAATCTCTTCTCCTCCACTGTCGTCTTGGGATTTGGGCACGCATACACACTTCCACAGTGTTTAAGTCACTGGGTCTGGGGCTCGAAACGCAGTCAATTACTGGGAGTCCAGCAACGTAACCATTATGCCATCTGCTGGTCCTCTGCTGGTCCCTAATTAGGATATTAATTACACCTGACTTGGGACTTAAGAGAGACCTGGTTTAACCCTCATCATGACACTTCCTAACTGTGTGGCTTGAAGCAAACAACTAACAACTCTGAGCCTCTATTCCCTCTGATGAGACCCACCTCACAGAGTGGCTGTGCATATGTGGTAAGACAGTGGCTGACTTGGCACCGTAATTCCCACTTTACTCAGGAGTAAATGAGACTCACAGAGGTGACAGAACTTACACCAGCCCATCCAGCCATCAGAGTCTCCCTCAGATCATGCACCCAGATATCTGACTCATTCTGCCTCTAGCACTCTTTTCTGTCACAACTATTTTCGGTGCTGATTTTCAATGGCAAATATAGTTAAACTTCAAATATTTTCTAATACTGTAGAAATAATCATGTTTTCTGGGACCAGCAGGGGGTGTACAGTTTGAGTTCTGGACCTGGTGGCTTGCTTTCTCAATTTTCTTTTCTCTCTCTCTTTCTCCCTCTCTGTCCTACTCTGGTCAAATTTAAAGAAAGAAAGAAAGGAAGGTAAATAAAATAATTATTTTATTTACCTTCCTTTCTTTCTTTCTTTCTACTATATTAAAAAAGCCAGAAGAAACTTTATTGTTTCTTTTTTAAAATAATTATTTTATTTACCTTCCTTTCTTTCTTTCTTTCTACTATATTAAAAAAGCCAGAAGAAACTTTATTGTTTCTTTTTTAAAATAATTATTTTATTTACCTTCCTTTCTTTCTTTCTTTCTACTATATTAAAAAAGCCAGAAGAAACTTTATTGTTTCTTTTTTAAAATAATTATTTTAAAAAAGAAACAATAAAGTTTCTTCTGGCTTTTTTAATATAGTAGAAAGAATAAAATTTCTTGAATAGAAGGAAAATACAGGGGGAGTAGAGAATAACAATATCCACAACAAAAACAGCACTGGATAAACACTTTAGATGGGTAACTTTTATAGTATGTAAATTATATCTCAATGAAGCTGTTAAAAATTAAAACTAAATGAGGCCAACCCCAACCCTATCAGTTAAGGGAGCCAGATCCCACATGTTTAACCTCAGTTCAAGTCCTGGCTCTAGCAGCTTCGACACCAGGCCAGGGACATGGGTATGCATGACCCAAGTCCCAAAAGGACGAAGAAATGGAGAAGGGAGGACATCATGACCACATCCCATGGGAGGTGCCGCTCTTTCTCTCTTTGGTGAATGCATGAGTACTCTGGCAAATAAAGCAAACAATAGCAGCGATGAGAAGTGAGTAACGGAGCATTTATGAATGGTAAGATCCTGAAGAAGTTACATTTTGTTGCTTCATCTTCTTCCCCATAAAATAGGGGTGCTATGATGTATACTGTCTTTGCTAAGGAATCAAAATAAAACTGAGTCCTAAGTGGCCAAGCCTGTTATGCTGCACAGACAGCTCTGCTCTATGAGGATGACACTAAAAAGAACTTGAGAAAAAAGGAGCTTTCTTTCTTCATGTCTAATGACTCAGGAGCCTCTTAAAATGCACTGGAAAAGAAGTCTACCCCACTGGCAAGCACCTGTTTGTGAGATCACCCCTTCTCAAAAAACTGATGTCACCGAAATATCAGCGGCAGAAAGTTCTGAAATAAGCAGATTACATGAGCTTGTTTCCCCAGGGCACTGTTAAAGCACGATCCAGAGGACCCAGTCTCCAAATCCAGGGCTTCCTAATCCATAAGCACAACAGGTTGGTGGAGAACTCAGCTTTACTGGCCACATGGGCTGGAGAACCGAAATCAGCACACATGTGGCCAAGTAATCCAAGCCCGTAACAGGATCCCAAGTCACCCTTGGCCTACTCACGTTCAAAGGCACACCAGACTCGGAAACGAGCCTCCTCGCCCGAATTTCCTTTCCATTTTATGAAGGAAATGTAAAAAGCACTGTTACCCCTTTTCTTTTTCAGTAGGAACACCACTTACGCTTTTCAAATGTCTGATTTACTGGTTTCATAGAAATAAAACATCAACACCAGGGATTTTCTACAAGCAAAGACAAACATGATTTTTCCACTGTTTTTACAAGACTGAGGTCATTTTTGCCCTGATTTCTACATAGTGGTAAGCTGAAAAATCAAGCCGTTTAGCTCACAGTCAGGACCAATAAATCGGTGGAAAAAATAAATGGGAAAGCATGCCCAAAACGTAACCATGGTAACACCACAGATGCGTCAAGAAATGGTGTGCTCATTTGCTTCATCCCCATTTCTTAAATTGGAATCTAAGTAGGGGAAAAATTACACAGAGAACTATCATGATTCTGCAATTACTAAATTCTGCAAAATTGCATTCAACCTGCTGGACTATCACTTCAGAGGCGGCTACTGTACAGCTATGGAAAAAGCAGTGGATGGATGGATGCTTTAAGAGTCAGAAAGACCCAGATCTGCCATTTACCAGTTATTTCATCTCCCTGCGACTCCATTTCCTCATCTATACAATGGGTGTTAAAGACCCCTAACATACAAGGGTTTTGATAAGAGCTAAAACTTGAAGTGTGGTTGAGGCAAGGCAATAGTGGGCTCAGCAGATCTGAAGTCCTGCCTCACCCATGTGCTCAGCATCAGGAATTATAATTAATCCATAGTAGAAAGAATGATTAGGAAGATATTATTAGGATTACAGCTTGTGATTCCAATGCTGAAAGATTAAAAAGGACTGAGGACCACAGGTTCACATAATATACTCTCACAACCTTTCCTCTGCCAAATGCAGAGTTAACTCTGCCTCATGATGGAAAGCAGCAACCTTGGGGCCCGGTCCCGAGTTACTTGCAACAAACCACTTCTCCTCTCAGAAACTTCGTTTTACCATGTACAGTGAAAGGCAGAGGGCTGCTCTATTATCTGATCCCTTGAGGTCTCCGTCTAGACCCATACTTTAAGTCCTTGCAAACCTATGGAGTACCTTAGGCTCCTCCTGTTTATTGTTTTACAGTAGTATGAAGAAACATTAGCACTCTAGCATATCATTTGCTAAATTCTATTTTTGTAAAGAAAACCATAGATGGCAAACAGACCACTGCAATAAGCAGTATACCTTGAATATTAAATTATTCCTTTTTTTTTCCTGGATAAAAAACAAACAAGACAAAACAAAAGCCCTGATAGGGGTTGGCAGGTGACATGATGGGCACTGGACTCCCACATGGCTAACTTGGTTTGAGGCCCAGACTTGGGGGTTTGCTTTCTTGCTCTCTCTGTCCATTTCTGGTCAAATTAAAATAAATACATAAAGTTAAATAAAATAATTCTTTAGAAGAAAAAACCCTGATATTGCTAAAAAAAAATTTTTTTTAATTTTGAAGAGCTAGGTAATAGGTAAAAAAAAAAGTTCTCAGTAATAAAATCACAGTCATTCTTTCCTCATAGTTTGAATGGAATTAAGCAGCCATATGTCTTCCCAGAATTCATACTTATGATTAGCTATCTAGGAATACAGCGTATTAGAGCACGGCAGCACTTCACTATAATTGACATGCCGATTTTTCTACCTATATATAGACAGCCTACCTTCCTTCCTTTCTTTCCTTAACGCAAAAACTTTGATGTCAGAGTTCCTATGACTGGTGTCTTCCTTTCCCAGAGCCACATTCAACTATCTAATGATTTCAGAGATTTGAATTTTTTCTTTTCTTAAAAAATAATTATTTAGGGGCCAGCAGGTGGCATAATGGTTAAGGGCACTGGACTCCCATATCTCTGACTGTAGTTCTAGTCCTGGACCTGGAGGCTTGTGCTCTCTCTCTCTATCTGGTCAAATTAAAATAAATAAAGTTAAATAAAATAATTCTTAAAGAATTATTTAATTTTATTTATTATTATGATTTTGTAACTGGGTATAGGGTATAAGCACGTGTGCTCACCAGAGAGAAAGAGAGGGAGAGAGAAAGAGAAAGAAAGCTGCCAGGTCCAGGACTCAAACTGTGGTCAGTCACGTGGCCATCACACCACCTGCTGGCCTTGGGATTTGAATTTTTTATTGTATAAAAACCATTTCTTCAAAAAAAAAAACTATACGTGAAATCCTGACTTCTGAATGTGACAAAGCTGGCTGACTAGAGGAGAAGCACAGGCGGGAAAGAAAGTCCCCTGAGGTATGCCTGCTACGGAGCGGCGGAACCTGTGGCATTAACAGCAATGACAGTTAAAATGTATGGAAGCTTCCGTCATGCCAATACTTTACAAAATGCCTCACGTGCCTCTTCCCCAGTACCTCCCTGAACAGTTATATGAATCTAGGATTACTGATGTATCTTTTCTGCTAGTGGGAAAGATGGACCTTAAAAGGGAAGATAATTGCCCAGCACCGCAAACTATAGAGTACCTGGCAGTGAAGACAGAAAGCCAGGCACACCGTGATGCTGTGCTATTTGCCCTACTGTCCATTTCGATTCGCTCAACTGATCAAGTCGCCAAAGAGGACAAGCTGCCCAGTGTTCTAGAACCAGCTGCCGAGCTCTCCTTTTCACACACCCGCCCTGCAGTAAGGAGCCAGAGCCCGGCTACTTACAAGGCACAGCATGGCGGTACAGGTTATCCCTTATGGTCTGCTGGAGCTCATGATCAGGAGACCCCTTCTGGAACCGCTGATTGAGAAACTGTCGCAGGTCCTTGTTCAGCCTTCCTCCTGCAGGAAACATATAAAATAGAATATATCAACAACAGAGTTCCCTGAAAGTGAGTTACCTGAGCGTGAAAAAACACACAAAGCAACTGTAGTCAGTCACCCTTGGTCATTAGGAGGATGGACTTTACATTGGTCCCTGCAGAGGTAAATGCAAGGAAAATAAATAAATAAATAATGAGCTAAAAGAGCACTGAGAAAGCATTAATGTGGGGGGTGCGATCTCACATCATACTAGAAGGCAAAAATAACAAAGAATTTAAACAAGGCTATTACATTTAAAATATGTGCCATGGACACTCACAGACATTATTAGTGGGAGGTAAATAGCTGAAACCTTTAAGGAAGACAATCCAGGGTCTAGCAGATGGCATGGTGATTAAGGTGCAGGATTCCCACATGCCCAACTGTGGTTGAAGTCTCAGACCTCGTGGCTTGAAAATCAATCTGGGCACATGTACATACACGCCCAAAATCCTAAGAGGAGAGTGGAAAAGGTACTATGGTGGCTACCCTCTCTCTCTGTCTCTCTCTAGCAAGCACATATATTCGAGGCTAACATCTAAAAAAAAGCAAACAAACAAACAAAAAAACAAAAAAGACAACTTGCAGCAGTAATGTCAAATTAGAAGATGTTCTCTAACCAGGGATTTGATGGGTGGGAATTTGTCCTACAGATTTGCAAAAGTCTGCTCAAATCTCCAGGAATGTATATTACCATGTTTTTATGATAGCAAGCATACAAACAAAAACTTTAAACCCAGAAACTACCAAAAGGGATTAAGTAAAGCATAGTTCATCCACATAATAACTACTCTGCATACGCTTAATCATAACATGTTGATGTTGGAGAAAGTATGCGGAATACTGCATAAAGTTGCATATGGCTTTTGTATAAGAAAAGGATAAAAAGAAAAACTATATTAACAGAGGGAATCATAACAGAGTCTAAACAGTGATTTCAAAGAAAGGGACTTGAGCTAGAGAAATTAAGAAGACTTTACTCTTCATTATTCAGAAGAACAGGCGGATACAGATATGTGCAGGCCTATTTGTGGCCTGGTGGTTAGGTGCCTCGATCCCATGTGGTCGACTGCGCAACTGAATTTCCTACATAGTAGCCTAAGGACCATGCCAGAGTGTGTGTGTTCTCAGCCAGGGTACCAGAAGGAGAGATGGAGAAGGGATTAAAGGGATTGTGGTGTGACCGTGCCCAATGGGAAACGTTCTCACTTTCCCTCTTTCTGTTGGGGAAGTGCCCATGCCTTCTCGTAAATCTTGAGATACATATCTCGAACGATAAATAGATAAGTGCACCTCCCTATCCTGTGTAACTTTTCAGATACTAGATACATATTGCTTTTTTATCACTGCTGTTGTTTAAGACCGTTACCTAAGTGAGTCTATGTGTTTATTTCTTTGCAATTCTTTACACTTAACAGAACAAAAGAAAAGCTCAAAGATGCTATATTGTTATAAAAATGTGTCAAAGAAGAGAGACATTTTCAACAGTCTATAGGATCAACAGAAGTTTTATAATTCGACCTAGCTAGCATTCATTTTTAGTGGAGAAATATGCTTCAGTGACAAGTAAAATACCAAGGCTAAGACTGTCCTTCTGTTTATAGATAAGATAAAAATTAGGTAATAGCATTTTTAGCCTCATAGAAATGACGCAAGTCAGTATCCACATGAGCTATGAAACTCCGGCCCGGATGATAACTTTCCCATGATCAAGAGTAAATCATGAGGCTGACAGTGATGGTTAAGACGATGAGATTTAGTTCCTACCAAGGGCAGGAAACTAATGATCTTTATTATTTTTTTTTCATAGAATTTTTTTTTCCTACAAGGTGTGCACACTCTCCAGAGACACAGAGAGAGAACAAGAGAAAATGAGAAATCTCCCCATGGAATGGCCACACCACAATCCCTTCTCCTTCCTTCTCCTATCAGAATTCTGGGCATGTACACACACACACGTGCCCAAGTCGCTGGGTCCAGGACTCAAACTGTCGCCTACCATGTGGGAATCCAGGGCCTTAACAACTACACCACTTACTGGCCCCCTGATCTTTATTTTTTTTATTTATTTTTATTTTTTATTTATTTATTTTTTTCCGCTATAGGGCGCAAGCGCTCGCCAGACAGAGAGAGACATAGAGACAGAAAGCGAGAAATCACCTCCCAGGGGGGGATGGTCACGCCGCAATCCCTTCTCCTCCATTCTCCTCTTGGGATCTTGGGCACGCACACACACGCACCCGGCGTGAGTTTTAAGCCACCAGGTCCGGGATGCAAACTGCGGTTGACTACGTGGGAGTCCAGCGACATAGCCATTACGCTAACTGCTGGTTCCCCCCCGATCTTTATTTTTAATATCACATTCAAAATAAGATTCCCGTTATAGCTGCTCATGTTGGAATAGAGTAATGAAATTCAATTTGAAGTATTTTATTTGAACCATATTGTACCTAAGGTTTCAAGTGGCCAAATCTAAAATACATATATTCAAGTCAGTTTCATGTCTTTCAATCATTCATCAAGTATTTCCTGAATGCAGAAGATAAATACCCACTACTCCACAACGTCTTTTTTCCCACAGTGAGCACAAGATTTGGGCATTCACAAAAATATATATAGGACTGCCTATATGCACACAAAGAGTCAGACATCATCAGAGAAATACAAATTAAACACTCAATGAGCTCTCACTACACACTCACCAGAATAGACATGATAGAAATGCTGGCAACACCAATTGTCAGCAAGAAAACAGAATAGAAACTTATTTTGGAGAGGTTTTTGCTATAGGGCGTGTACGCTTGCCAGAAAGACAGAGACAGACAGAGAGTCAGAAAGCAAGAAATCACCCCCCAGGGAGGATGGCCATGCTGAAATCCTTTCTTCTCCATTCTCCTCTCGGAATCTTGGGCACACACACGCACCTGGCATGAGTTTAAGCCACCGGGTTCTGGACTTGAACCGCGGTCAACTGGAGTTCAGTGACATAGCCTGGTCCCCAGAACAGAAACTTTTATACACTACTAGTGAGTGTATTTACTTTGGAAAATAATTTGCTAGTATCTTATAAAGTTATACCTTCACTAATCAAGTGACCCAACAATTCCATTTGTATTCCAAAAGGGATTTGAGATACAAGCTCTCTTTATCCCATACGCAACATAGATTCATACATGATAATGAGAAGATAAACCAGAAGCATATATCAGGTTGTTGGAAAAAAATCATGACACAGTTTTGCATAGAAAAAAATGCGTCACGACTTTTCTGACAACCCAAATAACCTAAAAAGCACACTTAAGAGGCTGTTGGTTTTAAACATGAGCTTTAAGTTCCAACTGGTCCAGCTAGCCAGGGTTTATGACCATCAAGCTAAAACTCCTTTCTAATGCACATGTACAAAAGCACAGGGTTAACTATGCTGCCGGTTAACATTTACTCTGTGTTCCGTGACATTTGGACGTGAAAAGCTTCAACCTTCTCATTCCATTAAGAATATTGTACATTTTGGCATCTAATCTCAAATTAATTGGCAATTATTCAGAGACATGTCTATAAATCTTCTCCTAATTGTCAAGGGCAGTGAGCCAATAAAATAATAAATTGTAAGACAGAGTTTATCATAGGAGCTTCACTTTCTTTGAAATCCAAGATTTGTTTGGTAAACAGAAAAAAAGAACATAGGTCAGGAAATATAGACAACATTTTCCAAAATAAGGGTTGAGCTTAGTCAGATAATTCTGAAATTTAAATGGGAAAAATGGGGCCTAGAGACTATACACAATATATTACTGCCTTCTTCATTCACATTGGTTAACAAAAACTTACACATGTCTAATCAATGTAATTTTTGTTACTTTAAAAATTATATTCTTTATTTTTATTTTTATTTTTTTTGAGAGAGATTTTCACTGTAGGGCGCATGTGCTCGCCAGACAGACAGAGAGAGACATAGAGATAGAAAGCGAGAAATCACCCCCCAGGGGGGATGGCCACGCCGCAATCCCTTCTCCTCCATTCTCCTCTCGGGATCTTGGGCACGCACGCACACGCGCCCAGCGTGAGTTTTAAGCCACCGGGTCCGGGACACGAACTGCGGTCGACTACGTGGGAGTCCAGCAACATAGCCATTACGCTAACTGCTGGTTCCCAGAAAAATTATATTCTTTATTTTTAAAATATACAAAATTTTGGACAGCAGGTGGCGTGGATACAACATGGCCAGCTACACAGTTAGAGTTCTGGACCTGGGGATTTGAAAATCATGCTGGTGTATGTACATGCGCATCCAAAAATCCCAAGAGGAAAAGAAAAGATTATGGCATGGCCATCCTCCCTGGGGGTGTGTGTGTGGCGGGGGGGGGGGGCGGTGATTTCTCTCTCTCTGTCTCTCTCTGGCACGTACCCTATAGCAAAAACTACAAAAATAGGGGCCAGCAGGTGGCAGAGTGGTTAAGAGGTGCTAGATTCCCACATGGCTCACTGCAGTTCGAATCCCAGGCCTAGTGGCTTGCTTTCTCCCTTTCATTTCTCTCTCTCTCTCTCTCTCTCTCCGTACCCTATAGCAAAAACTACAAAAATAGGGGCCAGCAGGTGGCAGAGTGGTTAAGAGGTGCTAGATTCCCACATGGCTCACTGCAGTTCGAATCCCAGGCCTAGTGGCTTGCTTTCTCCCTTTCATTTCTCTCTCTCTCTCTCTCTCTCTCTCTCTCTCTCTGGTCAAATTAAAAAATAATAATGAGAGGTCAGCAGGTGGCGTGGTAGATAAAGGCTCTGGATTACCACATGGCTGACCACGGTTTGGGTCCTGGACTCGGTCACTTGCATTCTCGCTTTCCCTTTCTCTTTTTCTCACTGTCTCTGGTCAAATTATAAAAATAATAATAACAAATGAAATTCAATAAATAAATAATTCTTTTAAAAAATAATAATAATGACAAATGGAATTAAATAAGTAATTCTTTTAAAAACCTTTACAA